CTATTCTCCAACCAGAACCAAATAACCAAGTACACTTTCAAAGACCGAATGAAAAAAACATAGAGTTCAGAAAGTGTGGCTGGGTATTTTCAAGCTAATGTCGAAGTTGTCGAGGTGGTTAATGAAAAGGTATTACATGTATCAATATCATTTTTAGTACGCATTTGTGGAAGGCGTAAAAAAAGTTCGAAGATTTTGCTTTTACCGGACATATACTTTATTGAAAGTGAAAGGCATTACTTCTTGACTTCAAAACAACACTAGATTTAGATCTAGATATCTAGATCTATATATCTAGTAATCTAGATTCTAGTCAAGTTTGGTGAATTATCCAATACGATGGCGAGTTCTGTCATGCGCACTTACGTAGCATACTCCGCAACACTTTTCCCACCCGGAGCGAGATCTTCTTCGTCCATTTTGAACCTCAAAGATCTAAAGCTGAATTTTGGAGATATTTCACTCAATATGAATATGAAGTTTGCAGCAGTACAATTGATGTAGAGCGCACGTTTTCGTCTTGTCTCGATTCACGAGTTTGGAAAAATGTGTTCAATAGTAGTACAGCAATGTGTTTCGGGAATCCGCGCTCTCCTGTCAGAACATTGAACATGTCTTTATTGCTGAAACAGCACCTGACCTGTTCGTGAGGTCACTATCATAAACATTGCATTTTACTATATTATCAAATGTACACTGAAAGATGGTACACCACCATCATGAATACATAAAAAATAGTTGCACATAAGTTAAGAGCAATAAATATAGATGTCGCCATCATCGCTGGTTTTTCTTTTTTTTAAATTGTTCTTTTAATATTTGCATAATAATATTATGTATAACCTTTTGTCCTTGGTATTTGTTTTTAGATGTTACGCCCTAAAAGTAGTAGATGCATCTTCATCACAGTAATATAGAAGTGGGCATAGGTGGGGGGGGGGGGGGTCGGGTCGTTATTTAGGCGCTTTTTCGATAGTTCCCAACCCGCAATTGTTATTCGTGGGTTTTTGCCCCAAGAGTAGGGGGGTTTCAAGGGCAAGCACCTAATAAAAATAAGGTGGGGGGGGGGGGCAATTTTACCATAATTTGATGTTTTGCAGTTGTTAGGTTTGATATCTTAGCTCGCCGCGGATCAAACGTATAGATCTCGATGTAGATCTAGGCTCAAATAAGGGGGGTGGGAACTACCGAAAAAGCACCGTTATTTTTGCGTACTTCAAACAGAGCCGTGAACAATCTTGTAATGTACAACCTTTGGTGATACTGACTTCACAAAATATCTGGCATTTCTGACTACTTCCACCACGCTCCTTCTCTGCTCCCAAACCTTTTGTGTTAATAATACCTCGTCACGTATTTCATCTAAACGGATATTCGTCTAGTTTCTATATGATATGTTAGCGTCTGATAACTTGTTTAATAATATTATATAATTAAATCAGAAACACGAAATTGCTAGGTTAGAATACATCGGGAGGAAAATGTCATTCTCCTGGCAGTCAAACAAAGACATCATCAACAATATTACTATCTTGACCTTTTTGTCTATGTTTTTTTTCTTCAGAACATCACTCTGATGGCTGACAAATTCGAGAACGAATCGCTCAAAGTGCACCAGTTTGATTTCACCATGAAGGAGATGGCGGAAAAAATGCGGATAGACCAAAGTCCCATTGCTATTGTGTTCCCAGCTGCCTGCCACAATTTGAGAAATGCCTGCCAAGGTCTCCTAATGTGGGTGAACGCAGACTGTGCTTACGCTGAGTACTTGAGATATGACATTCAAGAGTTGGAAAGGAAGAAAGAAGCACAGGTGAGTACTATGGGCGTTTGGTGGTATGTGTTTGTGAGCAGGAATGTATTTCACTCTGGTGAAAGCTTTTGTACTTATTTCGTTAATAAGGGAGCGCGCCTGTGAAGGAGAGGGGCGCGGGGGCTGGGGTAGAGGTAAGGGGAGGGGGTTGATGGAGTATAAAGAAGGGAAGAGGGCTGAGTGTGACGTATAAAAATCTCATGCAATGCGATGTCTGTTCCTGTGGTGTTGCACTCTTTGTGGCAAGGTGTAATGCTTGTGTGTGTATCTGTGGGAGTTCTCTCTCTCTCTCTCTCTCTCTCTCTCTCTCTCTCTCTCTCTCTCTCTCTCTCTCTCTCTCTCTGTGTTTCTCTCTCTCTCTCTCTCTGTTTCTCTCTCTCTCTGTTTCTCTCTCTGAGAGAGAGAGAGAGAGAGAGAGAGAGAGAGAGAGATGTGTGTGTGTGAAAGAGAGAGGGTGAGAAAAAAAGAAAGAGAGAGGGAGAGGAGTGGGTGAGACAGAGAATTACAGACAGACAGACAGACAGACAGACAGACAGACAGACAGACAGACAGACAGACAGACAGACAGACAGACAGACAGAGGGCCAAAAGACCAAAAGAAGAGGAGAGAGAGAGGGAGAGAGAGAGGGGGGGGGGAGAGGGAGAGAGAGAGAGAGAGAGAGAGAGAGAGAGAGAGAGAGAGAGAGAGAGAGAGATAAAAAAATAAAATCAGAGAGAAATAATGATCGCACACGTATAGCTTTGTTGGAGAGCCGCCTGACACAAAAAGCACCGTTATTTTTGCGTACTTCATTAACAGAGAAAACAAGCGGAA